TTCTAATTGAACTTGGCTAGAGAGGCCTTGGCCTTGGAGCGAACATATAGCAAGGGTGCCGATGATATTTATCCAATCAATACCCCAACTGGGCCTTTTTTTTTTTTTAAGGCACGGCTTGACAATCCGTTGTCGCTTCGATGGCTCCAAGCTGAACTCAAATAAAGTCCCGGCCGGATGATTTTTGCTTATCTTCCCAAGCGTGGACAGCCTGGCAGCGCTCGATTGGTCGACCCGCAAACGCCAGGGCGCTGGTGGTCAATGGATCAACTTTTTGACTCTAAACCTCGGTGCTTTTTTTTTTTTTTTTTTTTTTTTTTTTTATTATTATTATTTTGCTTGATTATTTTTACTTTTTCTTGGCTTGACTTTACTTTGGGTTCTTTATTTTGAGAAAAAAACCTTGTCCGTTTGCGTCCAAGAATGATGGGGGGGGGTGTTTTTTTCCTTATGTATGTATGTATGTTTGTTTGTTTTTTTTCTTTCCTTCTCCGCTTTAACCCAGTCACTGTTTATCGTAGTGATGCTGTGAAACCAACATCAAACACACCTCGCTAATAATGCATCCGGGAAAAAAACCAGAGGTTTTAAATTTTCTCTGCGCAAGTTGCAGTTGCAGTTGCAGTTGTAGTTGCAGCTGTCGTTGTAGATGCGGCGACTCCTGTTTGTGGCTAGTGTTCGTATCTCTCTCCTTTGTCCTGTGGTGTCACCTCCTTCCTGAAAAACCTTCTGCGAGTCCCCATGTGTCGTCTCCCGTCCCCTGATACTTACTTACCAGTAACAATACTCCGTACCTGGATAATAATAATAATAATAATAATAATAATAATAGCCAGAATAGCGATAACTAACCGTCATCCACAAATTCTGTCACTATCGTTGATCAGCGAATTTCAGCCCTCCACCCTTTCCCGATTGCAGTCTTCTGGAGCAAAAGAAGAACGCGACGATGGGAAAGCGGCGAGGGTGGGGGTGGGGGGGGGGGAGGGGGAACCGCCAAGGACTTCGAAAATGATTCAAATACGTGGTGGTGGGACTGGAAGATGGCCTCTAAAAACCACGCCGCTATTCTAACTGTACGGAGTTACGGGGGAAAAAAAATAAAATAAAATAATATATATATATATATATATATATTAAAAAATTAAAAATTCTCCGCTGCTGGAGAAAGAGAGTGAGTGGCACGGGGTTGACATCGTTGTTGCTAAGAGAGTTAGCGGCATAACATGAGGATTATCATCTGATGAGCCTATTTAAGGCCATTGAGAAGTCATGACCTCCTCCGGAGAGGCTCTAACGTAGCTTTATTAACGTAGCTTTATATGGCACTGATGAGAGAGAGGCGCTCGCAGATTTGTATCTTTGACAAAAAGCCAACAAAAGGGGTTGATGTGGCCCCCTGGGTGGAAAATTGTTAGGTCGGCCCCAGTACATCGGCATCTTGCAGTCTTCCTTCGTTAGTATGTTCTCCCTGTGGCAAAGCAGTGGACATGAACAAAATACGGTTTGGGTGGCAAGAAGGGAGAAGAAAACAAACGGCGGGAGAAGGACAAAACTTCAATATATATAATTATAGATAGGCAGACAGACAGACAGACAGACAGACAGATAGAGATAGAGAGATATATATATATAAATAGATACTTTTTTCTCTAATGGTTTCATTCCATTCATTCCTTCTTGTATGCTTCCCTGCCCTGGAGCTTGACAGAGACTATTACGTCAACATATGGGAGGTCCCTCCTGTGCCTATTGGTATTGTGGTTATTCAGTGCTCCCACTGGGCCACTGGGCCACTGCCTCTGCCCTTTCCTTGGGCCATCCGTTAGAGATGACTCCGTAAGTGTAATCAGGCAAACATGGGGGAATTCCCGTAACAATCCGTTCCCAAGCGCTAAACACAACCATCGTCATCCAACTCGCCACGCCCGCGGGATTCCAATTCTGTCACCGGTGATCTGCGCTGCCATCTTCATCTTCATGATGATGATGATGATGATGATGATGATGATGATGAATTGGGTTAAGCGCAAAACAGACCAAAGCAAAGAAAATTGGGGCATTTGTTTTTGCTTATTATTTTTAGGGCGTGTTAGGGCCGTGACCGGGGAGACAAAAAAGGTTCGAAGCCCAATTTTCAGTCAAGGATCCCTTTTTGGTTGTTTCGGTTTTGCTCCACTCCAGCGTGGAAGAACAAACCGAACTCTGTGGGCGGCTGGGCGCCAAGGCCGGGATTCGTTGGGCTCTGATGGGGGTTTGTATCTTGTATTTGTCTGTCCTGTCTGTCTTCTTTTTCTTGTTGATGACGTGATAACTTACTATGTAGTTAACTACCGGAGTAAGTTAACGGGGAGATATGATTTGACGTGATTGTTATATCCGTAGTGAGTCCATGGATTGTCTGATTACTGGTGTTCCCTGGATGTTTCGTCC